CCCCCACGCCTGCTGCTCTGCCTACTTATGATCTCTCTCTGTCAAATAAATAAATAAAAATCTTCAATAAATAAATACATCTTTAAACATAAAATACTAGAATAGATTATGTGATTGATTGGGATTTAGAGCAAAAATTCATTGCAGAGATGCCTCAGAGAGGACTGCCTTTACAAACTGGTCTTCTTAAATTACAAACCAGGTAGTTATCCTGTTTCCTAAACACTGAGAGCAGAACTGCTTGGAAGGAAGTCATTACTGGACCGAAATTCCCTAAATTCACATTATTTTGACTGAGCTTTGAGTCAATGAATGATTCAAACTGAAGATGGCTGGTATTTTCCAGTACAGATCTGTTTAACATCTAGCTTAGTAGAAACTTCAAATTGCAATTTAGAGATACTTTTTTCTTTTCCTCTTTTTCTTTTCACACCGAAGAGTGACGGGAGATTTACCTATAGTTTTGTGAGGTACTGCAGGCAGGTTCTTCCCAGCTCTGGGATGGAGCGGACCACAATGAGGAGCCTCCTGTCTTTTAAGATGGAGTAAGTAACTAGCCTGATATCTTAACCTCAGGTAGAACCTGATCAAGGACTTCATCTTGAGATGCCAAGACTCAGTTTTCTTCTCTTACTCCTCAGTCTTCCAACCACTAGATTCTGACCTCTTGTCAAAATTAGGAAGACTTTGAAGGCATGGTCTTGACACTTCCCATCACCCTTTGCAGTCTTTTTAAGAACTGAACCAGGTTAAGTGAATTGGTATATCCTATACCTGAATGTGGCTGCAGAAATAATAATCAGGTAAGTTCTCTTGGCTGGTATAATAGATATAAAGCACCATTAAACACATTTTTAAGTGTTTAATTTGCAAGAAAATCTCTTACTTCCAAAAACATATACACTACTACTTTAGAAACAATTTTTTAAAAAGATTGTATTTTTTTTTTTTTTTAAAGATTTTATTTATTTATTTGACAGAGAGAGATCACAAGTAGGCAGAGAGGCAGGCAGAGAGAGAGGAAGGGAAGCAGGCTTCCTGCTGAGCAGCAAGCCCGATGCGGGACTCGATCCCAGGACCCTGGGATCATGACCTGAGCCGAAGGCAGCGGCTTAACCCACTGAGCCACCCAGGCGCCCAAAAAGATTGTATTTTTAAGTAGGGGCACCTGGGTGGCTCAGATTGTTTGGCGTCTGCCTTAAACTCAGATTATGATCTCCAGGTCCTGGGATCAAGCCCCATATTGGGCTCCCTACTCAGTTGGGAGTCCACTTCTCCCTCTCTCTCCCTCTACCTCTGCTTGTGCTCTCTCTGTCTCTCTCTCAAATGAATAAATAAAATCCTTAAAAAAAGAGAGATTTTAACTAATCTATACACCCAACATAGGGCTTGAACCCAAAACTCCCCAAGAGCAAGAGTTATGTGCTTTACCAATGAGCCAGTCAGGACACCCTCTTCAGAAACAATTCTTTTTGTTGTTGTTGTTGTTGTTGTTGTTTCTTTAAGAGGTGGGGGTAGGGACAGAGGGAGAGGGAGAGAATCTTAAAATGGTTTGGGTTTTTTTGTTTTGTTTTGTTTTTAGAGATTTTATTTATTTATTGGACAGAGATTACAAGCAGGTAGAGAAGCAGGCAGAGAGAGGGTGGGGGAAGCAGACTCCCTGCTGAGCAGAGAGCCGGATGAGGGGCTCGATCCCAGGACCCTGAGATCATGACCTGAGTCAAAGGCAGAGGCTTAACCCACTGAGCCACCCAAGCGCCCCGAGGGAGAGAATCTTAAGCCAGGCCCCACACCTAGTGTGGAGCCCAATGTGGGGTGCAGTCTTACAATCCCAAGATCATGACCTGAGTTGGCAAGAGTCAGACACTTAACCAACTGAACCACCCGAGAATTTTTTTAAACTGATTTTTAAAAAAAATTTTTAAGTAATCTCTACCCCCAACATGGGGCTTGAACTCACAACCTCAAGGTCAAGAATTTTATACTCCTATCAACGGAGCCAGACAGGCACTCCTAAGGAAGAATTTCTCAATAATTACGAAACTATTCAAATGAGGATTTGATATCGCCAGATATCAAGGATATCGCTAAAACTAGTGTATCCCCTAGCTCTTAGTTGCTAGAATTGCTTAAGCAAAATCTTGAAGGACCATTTTTGTCAGGACTCTTGCAGAATTCCTAAATTACAACAGAAGTTTACCTAAATGATCTAGAATTTCTGCCTATTGTTCATAACATAATTACTAGGTTCACCATGTATATATATAACAGTATTTTACAAAAATATTTTTTATTTTGGGGGGCACCTGGGTGCCTCAATTGGCTAAGCATCTGCCTTCAGCTCAGATCATGATCTCAGGGTCCTGGGATTGAGCCCCACGTAGGGACTTTCTGCTCAGTGAGAGCCTGCTTCTCCTCCTCCCTCTGCCTGTCCCTCCCCCTGCTTGGGCACACTCTCTCTCTGTCAAATAAATAAATAAAATCTTTTAAAAAGTATTTTTTATTATTTTATTTTTTGTTTTTGTGTGTGCTTGTGTTTTGTATTTGTTTTTGTTGTTAGGAACACAGGTACGTCTGCTGAATTTTTAAACATGAAGGGCATGATTGTTAATGAAATTAATGAGAAACAGTCTGTATTATCCCAGCTTTATGGTTTGTTTTTGGTTCTTTCCTAGTTGCCTGTGCTCTAGGAAGACAAACATCTATAATGGGAAGTTATTTTAGCTAGTGTTGCACTGATCTATCAGAATGTATGGCTGGAGTTTAGTCCTAAAGATAGATCTTCTACAATGCTAGGCAGTAAACCCTTCAGCTGCTGGATAGAGGGTAAGTCTTAGGGGTTCTGAGTATAAGAGAAGGTAGAAGGGAAACTTGGGTTAAGGGAAATGAGAAGTGTGTAAGTATTTTAATATTTTAATAACTGAACTACGTATCAGTTGACACTGCCAATACCCTGGATTGAAGACACTATCCTTTCCCTATTGAAATATTTTGGCATCTTGGTCAAAAATTGATCATAAATGTAAGGGTTTGTTTCTGGACCCTCAATTCTGTTCCACTGATTCTATAGGCCTATCCTCATGAATACTACATTGTCTCATTTACTGTAGCTTTGTAGTCAGTTATAAGTTGGGTAGTATAATTCAGGCAATTTTTTTTTCAAGATTGGCTTAGCTGTTCTGTGTCCTTGGTATTTCCTTATATATTTCAGGATCAGCTTGTTAATTTCTAACACACACACACACACACACACACACACACAAGTGCTATGATTTTGTCAGGTATTGCATTGAATCTAACCAATTTGAGAATTGCCATCTTAATACTGAGTCTGACAAACCATGAACATGGAAAGTTTCTGTACTTTAGATCTTCATTTCTCTCAGTATATTTTATATTTTTGGCGTATAAATCTTGGATTTGTTTTACTAAATTTTTTCCTAAGTATTTTATTCTTTTTGATGCTATTATGAATGCATTTGTTAATTTCATTTTTGTTCTTAGTGTAGAGAAATAGTTGATTTTTGAATACTTAACCTTGTATCCTGCAACCTCATTAAACATAGAAATTCCAGTACTTTTTTTTTAAGATTTTATTTATTTATTTATTTGTCAGAGAGGAAGAGAGAGAGAGAGAGCACACAAGCAGGCAGAGAGGCAGGCAGAGGCGGAGAGAGAAGCAGGCTCCCTGCTGAGCAAGGAGCCCGATGCGGGATTCGATCCCAGAATGCTGGGATCATGACCAGAGCCTAAGGCAGAGGCTTAACCCACTGAGCCACCCAGGTATCCCAAAATTCCAGTACTTTTGTTTTTGTTCTGTGCATGCTCCTTATGATTTTTAACAGAGGATCACATACATCACCTGGAAATAAAGGCAGTTTCGTTTCTTCCAATCTGGATGCCTTTTGTTGCCTTTTTGCACTGACTACACCCTCCGGTACAATGTTGAATAGAGGTGAATGGAGCCTCTGTCCTTGGCTAGTTTCTGATCTTTAAAGGGAAAGTATGAAGGCTCACCACTAAGTATGATTTTTTTTTTTAAGTAGGCTCCACGTCCAAAGCGGGGCTTGAATCACAACCCTGAGAGCAAGAGTAGCATGCTCTTCTGACTGAGCCTGGCAGGTGCCCCCATTTTAAGTGAAGGTTTTTCCCTTAGTTGCCCTTTATAATTAGCTTCTGTAAAAATAAGACTCCATAGCTTCATCCGAGGACTTTAGGAATTGGATCTCAGGGAGATGCAGCCTTAGGAATCCATACTTCTAGGAAGCAGCCCATCTGACAGCCTTAGTGGTGGTTGAGGACCAATGTCTCTCACCTGGGAGCCACCGTGGCACCGTGTAATAGCAAGTTCTAATTACCCTACGTGCCTCTCCTGGAACAATCCCTTTACAAAGGATCTCAAGAGCCCTACAGCTGAGTGTAGGAAGCAACAAAACTGTCAGTTATAACGGTTTGGCATTTGGCAGAAGGATCCTTAAGCAAAACTAATTTGCTCGCCTGTATTCACCAGAGCTGGAAACAGCGAAACAGCGGTCTGACGTTCGGGCCCTTTACGAATGGAAAACGAGTCAGACACAATCAGATACAAACTAGAGCTATTAAACTGTCTGCCTAGGTATGGTATTATGTCCGGGGTTAAAAGCTCCCGGTCCAAGGATGAAATTATTAGCAGTATAGTTGACTTAAGGTGGCTTAAAATTGTCATGCGGTCTAGCCAAACTACCTTTCCCCCAAGTGACACAGCTTCTACGCGGAAATAATTTTGCATTCCTAACAAGCGAATTACAAAAATGTTTTTCCTGTTACCTCAACCCTGGAACCAATCCCCCCCCCCCCCCAAAAAAAACGATCTAAAAGAGTGGGGTCAGCACTATTGACAGACGTCCATCCCAACCAGCCTACAGCGGGAAGAGAGTGCGCTTGCGCAAGTCGTTATCCAGTCAGGACTCAGCGGCAGAAGTGGGGGCGGGGCTTGTGGAAACAGCTGCCGCAGGGTTGGCGGACTCGGGAAGGAGCGAAGATGGCGGAGTGAGGCGTGCAGTTGCGAGCCGGCCGTTGGGCCGGGGGGCGGCAAGGCCCCCGGAGTGTCCAGTGCTTCTTCTAGTCGGTGCGAGGTAAGCGAAGAAGGCAGGCGACGGGGAACTAGCAGGAGGTGGCGCGGCCCAGCCTGGCCGGGGGATGGGAGCGCGCGGAGCCTACCTCTGCGGCGTGCGCGAGCCTCGGCCTGGCGCGGGTTCCCTTCCGAGCTGCCCAGGGCGGCGGTGCAAACGTTCCGGGGTGTGTCGCACCAACACTTCGTCCTCTACCCGCCGCTGCCCTTCTTAGTGCCTTTTTGGCCGCCTTTGTGCTTTCGGTTTGTTCCCCGGTGAGTGCACCCACGCGGGTGTGTATCTGCCAACTGCTGCGTTGTCCAACGGTTTATTTTTTAAAGAATACCTATATTTTATTGATTTTATTTATATCCTTCACCTCACGGCTTCGTGTCCACTGTTTTGCCTGAGTCTCCGATATCAGTCGAGGCCTGTTAGGGCCCTGAGTAATTTGTGTCCTGGTCCGTTGACCTTGAGATTTGGTTTAACAGGTTCTCCCCCCGGGATTTTCATTTGTGTTTATCATTCACGTTCTCTTGCTACCCATCCATTCATTCCCACTCGCACCCCTAAAAGTTTTAAGATCCGAGTAAGCATCTTTGTCCTTGTATGACCTGGTAATTGCTTAATGGCGCATTAATCTCGACTGACTGTAGGTCCCGGTAGAATTCACAGTTGTTTTCCAGAATTAAAAGAGCCAGTGTAAATTTTTATTTATTATTTAGAGAGATAATGAGAAAGAGTTTGGGGAAATATTATTAGAATGTAATTTGTGTAATGTGGTGGGGTTGCCAGATATTATACTGTCAAGTCATTTGTATTCGGTTCTTGTCTATGGGATTTTTTTTATAATGTGGATTTTTATAACTCCTCATTCAGTCTTTCAGTTAAATTCTTGGAAAGTTTCCTGTTACCAGGTTTCTAAATTGACGAAGCCTATTTAGAATTGGCTTGTTAGTTGGGTTCAGTTCTACTGACATAACATAATAGGAATTAATATTTCTGGTGTGCTCTTTGCTGGTCCTTGATTTAGCAAAGCTGGAAATACCTGATAAAGAAATAGCTTCCTTATAAATAAGACTTTTCTCTTGCTTTTGTCAGGAGTATTTTTTTCAGTTTCATCTAGAAGAAGAAAGAAAATACACAGGGCAGAGGAAAGGAACAGAACATTATTCCTTCCTACCTTACAACAGAGGGGTGTGGTCATCTATATTAAAGCAAAGGTCTGTTGAGAGAAGAGGGACCATAGCATCATCAGATTCTTAGTGGGAACAGTGTACCATAAAAACTTGAGAACCACAGATTCAAGAGTTTGTGTTTTTTTTTTTTTTTTTAAAGATTTTATTTATTTATTTGACAGAGATCACAAGCAGGCAGAGAGGCAGGCAGAGAGACAAAGAGGAGGAAGTAGGCTCCCTACCAAGCAGAGAGCCCAGTGCAGGACTAGAGCCCAGTGCAGGACTCAATCCCGGGACCCTGAGATCATGACCTGAGCTGAAGGCAGAGGCTTAATCCACTGAGCCACCCAGGCGTCCCTCAAGAGTTTTGACATCTTTAAAAAATTAGTGCCAGTGCAGGTAGAGAGTAACTTATGACTGTTCCTTTTGAATATTTTTTTTTTAAGATTTTATTTATTTATTTGACAGACAAAGATCACAAGTAGGCAGAGGCAGGCAGAGAGAGGGGAGGGGGAAAAGCAGGCTCCTTGCTTAGCAGAGAGCCTGATGAGGGGCTCAATCCCAGGATCCTGGGACCATGACTTGAGCTGAAGGCAGAGCCACTGAGCCACCCAGGCGCCCCTGAATAGTTTTTGATAATTTTTTTTTTTTTAAGATTGTTATTTATTTATTTATTTGAGAGAGAGAGAGCACAGAGGGAGAGAGGATGGCGGGGAGAGGCAGACTCCCTGCTGAGCAGAGATCCCAGGACCCCGGGATCATGACCTGAGCGGAAGGCAGACACTTAACCAACTGAGCCACCCAGGCACCCCGATAATGATTTTTTTTTTAAAGATTTATTTATTTTAAAGAGAGAGCACAGGTGTGGAGAGGGGCAGAGGGAGAGAATCTTTCAGGCAGACGCTGAGACACACACACACACACACACACACACACACACACACACACACTGGGTCGAGATCAGAGTCCTACTGGGGCTGGATCACACACATACACATACCCCACCCACCCACACACACCCACACACACCGGGTTGAGATCAGAGTCCTACTGGGGCTGGATCCCAAGACCCATGAGATCATAATCTGAGGGGAAACCAAGAATTGGACACTTAAATGACTGAGCCACTCAGGCACCCCATAGTGATGTTTTTAAAAAATAACTTCATTCGGGGCTCCCGGGTGGCTCAGTGGGTTAAAGCCTCTGCCTTCAGCTCAGGTCATGATCCCAGGGTCCTGGGATCGAGCCCCGCATGGGGCTCTCTTCTCCACGGGGAGCCTGCTTCCCTTCCTCTCTCTCTGCCTGCCTCTCTGCCTACTTGTGATCTCTCTCCGTCAAACAAATAAATAAAATCTTTAAAAATAATAATAATAATAACTTCATTCGTTTAAAATAGTTTTCCACAAAGAAGCATATAATACAAGTGAGGGGTGTATCCTTACCATAATGTTGTTTTTATTTTTCCTTATCACAGGAAGAACATTTTCTTTGGCTTCCAGGTGCTTTTATATTCATCTTAAGAAGAAAGCAAAAATCTGAACTCAGGATTTGGCAAGTGAGTAATAGGGGCCGATACTTCCAGATACTGTTCAAGCAGCTTGAAAAATAACTAGATGGAAGTAGGACAGTAAGCTTCAACAGAAAATGAACATCAAAAATGACTAGAAATTTGTTTTTAAGGTTTTATTTATTTGAGAGAGAGAAAGCTGTAGAGGGCAGAGGGAAAGGGAGAAGCAGGCTCCCTGCTTACATGGGACTCTGTCCCAGGACCCTGGGATCATGACCTGAGCCGAAGGCAGCCACTTCACCAACTGAACCCTGCAGGTGTCCCATGACTCCCATGACTAGAAATCATTTACATCTAAGCAAAATCTTACATTTTCAACAAAAAGAGTATATCAAATATTTAAAAAGAACTTGATCATTTGCCCAAACCAGTAATTTTTATTGGATAAAGAAAAACGGTACAGATTTAATTAGATTAATGATCAAATGATAAAATATAAATGCTACTAGGCAAATTTTAGAATATATTCATTTGTTTTAATTATAGATAAATGTTGATATTTCAGTCTTTAATAATTTCTAAAGCTTTCCAGTACACCTTTAATATTCCTAGGTTTTAGTGTATTCTATGCCAAGTGTTGCTATTTTCTGAATTTACCACAGATGTAAGTATGCTCCGTTGCTCAAAGAGCAAAAGATAATACATACTTTAATAATTGACAGTAACCTTATTTGTAAAATAGGGTTCATACTTACTATATTAGTTTTCTAGAACTGCTGTAACAAACTGGGTGACTTAGAGCAACAGAAATATATTGTCTCATAGCTTTGGAGATCAAACATCCAAAATCAAGGTGTTTGCAGGGCCATATTCCCTTTGAAGGTACTAGGGAAGGTTGTGTTTCAGGCCATTCTTCTAACTTTTGGTAGTTCTTTGGCTTGTAGCAGCATGACTCCAGTCTTCACATGGCATTCTCCCAGTGTGTGTGTGTCTGTGTCCTAAGTTCTCTTTTATGAGAACACCAGTCATGTTAGATTAGGGACCCACCCTACTCCAGTATGACTTCATTTTAACTAATTATATCTGCAATGACTCTATTAACTCCAATTCCAGATAAGGTCACATTTTGAGGTACTAGGGATTAGGACTTCAGTTTATGAATTTGGGGAGGACATAGTTCAACTCATAACATCTGCTTAGTCATATACATTGATTATATTACATGGAAATCAGTGTACAGCTGCTTTAAGGATTAAAATATTTTATACCACTTACAGAGATACTTAAGAATAGTCAAAATTGGGGTGTCTGGGTGGCTCAGTGGGTTGTCTCTGCCTTCGGCTCCGGTCGTGATCTCAGGTTCCTGGGATCGAACCCCACATCAGGCTCTGCTCAGCGGGGAGCATGCGTCCCCCTCTCTCTCTGCCTGCTGCTCTGCCTACTTGTGATCTCTCTCTGTGTGAAATAAATAAATAAAATCTTAAAAAAAAAAAAAAAAAGAGGGACGCCTGGGTGGCTCAGTGGGTTAAGCTGCTGCCTTCGGCTCGGGTCGTGATCCCGGCGTCCTGGGATCGAGTCCCACATCGGGCTCCTTGCTCAGCGGGGAGCCTGCTTCTCCCTCTGCCTCTGCCTGCCACTCTGTCTGCTTGTGCTCACTCTCGCGCTCTCTCTCTCTCTCTCTGACAAATAAATAAATAAAATCTTTAAAAAAAAAAAAAGAATAGTCAATATCATAGAGACAAAAAGTAGGATGGTGATTACTAGGGGCTTCAGGAGGGGGATATTGGGCATTACTATTTAATGGGGGCAGAGTTTCAGTTCTGCAAATGAAAAAAGTTCTGGAGGTAGAAGGTGGTGATACTTGCACTACAGTATGAATGAACTTAATACCACTGAACTGAACACTTAAAAAGGGTGAAGATGATAAATTTTATATTATGTGTATTTTACCACAATAAAAACAAATTTTAAGAAAAGGTAAGTAAAAAATTCCAACTATACAGACAGTCCCTGATTAATGATGGTTTGCCTTAACAATTTTATTTTTTTAAGATTTTATTTATTTATTTGACAGAGATCACAAGCAGGCAGAGAGATGCAAGCAGAGAGTCGGGGAGGGAAGCAGGCTCCCTGCTGAGCAGAGAGCCCAATGCGGGGCTCAATCCCAGGACCATGACTGGGCCGAAGGCAGAGCCTAACCCACTGAGCCCCCCAGGCGCGCTTGCCTTAATGATTTTTTGCCTTTCCAATGCTGTGAAAGCAGTACACATTCAGTAGAAACCATATTTCAGTTTTTATTTTTTTTTTAATTTTTAAAAAGATATATTTATTAATTTGACAGAGAGCGAGATCACAAGTAGGCAGAGAGGCAGGCAGAGAGAGAGAGAAGGAAACAGGCTCCCCGCTGAGCAGAGAGCCTGATGAGGGACTCCATCCCAGAACCCCAAGATCATGACCTGAGCCGAAGAAAGAGGCTTAACCCACTGAGCCACCCAGGCGCCCCATATTTCATCTTTTAAAGTTTCATCTTTTCCCTGGATAGCAGTATGTGGTGTGATGCTTTTGTGGTGCTGGACACTGGCAGCAAGCCACAGCTGTAAGTCAGCCATGTGATCCACGAGGGTAAACAGTCAGTACACATACAGCTGTTTTCTTACTTTCAGTACAGTATTCAATAAACTATATGAGATATTCAATAATTTATTATAAAATAGGCTTTAGATTAGATTATTTTGCTCAACTGTAGGCTAATGTAGTATTCTAACACATTTAAGGTATAAGCTATGAGGTTTGTAAGTTAGGTGAATTTTTATTTTATTTTATTTTATTTTATTTTATTTTATTTATTTGTCAGAGAGAGAGAACAAGCAGAGAGAGTGAGAACAAGCAGAGGGAGTGGCAGGCAGAAGAAGCAGACTTCCCTGCTAAATAGAAAGCCTAATGTGGGACTTGATCCCAGGACCCTGGGATCATGACCTGAGCTGAAGGCAGACACTTCACCAACTGAGCCACCCAGGTTCCCCTAAGTTAGTTGTATTAAATGCATTTTTGACTTAGGATATTTTCAACCTAGGATGGGTTTTTCAGATCATAAGGAAGATCTGTATTATGATATAGAAAAGGAAAGGAATAAAGAAAAGGAATAAAAGAAAAAAAATAAAAACTGCTGGGACAAATTCAGGTGCTAGAGTTTTTATCAGTATGCCTTTAGAACAGAGGCTTTGTTACTTGAATTTAGAACCTTAATTAAATCCACGTAGATAGAGGGCCTCTAGGTGGTGCAGTTGGTTAAGTGTCCAACTCTTAGTTTCAGTTTTGGCTCAGGTCCTGATCTCAGGGTCCTGAGATGGAGCCCCACATTGGGCATTGTGACGACTGAGATCCTCTCTCTTCCTCCTCCTAGCGTGCGCCATGTGTACACACACACTCTCTCAAATAAATAAATCTTTTTTTTTTTTTTTTAAGATTTTATTTATTTATTTGACAGACAGAGATCACAAGTAGGCAGAGAGAGAGAGAGAGGAGGAGGAGGCAGGCTTCCCGCTGAGCAGAGAGCCCGATGCGGGGCTCGATCCCAGGACCCTGGGATCATGACCTGAGCCGAAGGCAGAGGCTTTAACCCACTGAGCCACCCAGGCGCCCCTCAAATAAATAAATCTTTTTAAAAATAAATAATCCAGGTAGATAGTAATAGAAACTTGACATTGGTATAGCACAGTATTGGTAACAATCTAAGTATCTATCTGCAGGGAACTGTTGTGAATAAATTTAGGTGCTTCTGTATTTAAAGGGTATCTTTGGGACACCTGCGTCACTGAGTCGGTTAAGCATCTGCTTTCAGCTCAGGTCATGATCCCAGGGTCCTGGGATTGAGCCCATGTTTGGCTCCCTACTCAGTGGGGAGTCTGCTTCTCTCTCCCCCTCTGCCTCTCCCCCTACTCACACTTTCTTGCTTGCTGTCTCTCAAATAAATAAATAAAATCTTTTTTTTTTTTTAAAGATTTTATTTATTTATTTGACAGATCACAAGTAGGCAGAGAGGCAGGGAGAGAGAGAGGAAGGGAAGCAGGCTCCCTGCTGAGCAGAGAGCCCAATGTGGGGCTCGATCCCAGGACCCTGGGATCATGACCTGAGCCGAAGGCAGAGGCTTTAACCCACTGAGCCACCCAGGCGCCCCAGAGGGACAGTATAATCTTAAACAGGGCTCAAAGTAGGCTTTACTGAGAAAATGACATTTAAGACTTGAGGAGAGGGGACTAGCTATGTGGATACCTGGGGAAGAGTCCTCACAAAGGGAGTATTCAGTACAAAGGTTTTGAGGTTGGAGAATGCCTGACATTTTAGGACGAGCAGAGTCCGGTGTGGTTAGAGCACATGTTGAAGGAGGAGATAGAGATAGAGTTGGGGTCAAAAGAGATATGGTGGAAGGTGGTGTAGATCTTAGGTCAGAACTACGGCTTTCGGACTAAGCTACTACTATTCATTCACTTTTCAATAGGTTCTATAGTTTGTGATCCATATTTGTGTTTAGAGTGAATAAAATTGAATGGTGACTGAGTGAATGTGAAACTCGTTATTTGGGTTTGTTTGTTTGTTTGTTTAAGATTTTATTTATTTATTTGAGAGAGGGAGAAGCAGTCTCCCCACTTAGCAGGGAGCCCAACACAGGACTTGATCCCAGCACGCTGGGATCGTGAGCTGAGCTAAAGGCAGACGCTTAACCAACTTAGTCACCCAGACACCTGAAATTGGGCCTTTTGAAGAGAAAACAGGCTTATGATATTCTAGCATTATTGCCTAATATGAAGATATAGATTGGGGGGAAGGTGGGGTTTATATATGATGAATGTATACATTTTTATTAGTAGGTATTGTTGAAGGAATTTGTTTATAAGATAGTCTAAACAGGTTCCCTTTTAGGAAAAGGTACTCTTTCGTGCTTATTTGGTTTACATAGAATTCTTTTAGCATATTTCCTCCTGGAAGGAACTAGTGTGTATCTTCTTTCCCCCTCAACAATCCTGCGAGTTATCTTGCCATTAGAATTGAACTGCAGGGGGTACCTGGGTGGCTCAGTCCGCTGCTGCCTTCTGCTCAGGTCATGATTCCAGGATCCTCCTCAGCAGGGAGCCTGCTTCTCCCTCTCCCTCTGCTGCTCCCCCTGCTTGTGCTCTCTTGCTCTCCCTCTCTCAGATAAATAAAATCCTAAAAAATAATAATAATAATAATAATTGCAGAACAGTCTAATGGCTGGTACATGCTTTGAATTGGCCTGAGTAAGGTTCTGTAATGAAACAGCTTTATTCATCATGGTGTTTCTTTTTTTTTTTTTTTTTTAATTGCATCTCTCTCCTTGGTGGTATTTCTTTCTTTTTTTTTTTTAAGATTTTATTTATTTATTTGATAGAGATCACAAGTAGGCAGAGAGGCAGGCTGAAAAAGAGAGAGGAAGAAGCAGGCTCCCCACCGAGCAGAGAGCCTGATGTGGGACTTGATCCCAGGACCCTGGGATCATGACCTAAGCTGAAGGCAGAGGCCTAACCCACTGAGCCAACCAGGCACCCAGCCCATGGTGTTTCTAAAGGCCCTTCTGTGGATCTTCTCTATTTTTTTACTCTAACTTCTGTTGTTTTTGCAACAAGTGCAAATTCTGTGATTCTCTTCCTCCTGATTTGATTCTGAATTAGTTTACATTTGCCTTTACTTTAATTCAAGTATAGATTACATAGTGTTATATTAGTTTCAGATATACAGTATAGTGATTCAGCAATTCCATACATTACCAGGTGCTTATCACCATTATCCTCCTTAATCCCCATCACTTATTTTACCCATCCTGCCACCCACTTCTCTGGCAAGCATCAGTTCTCTGTAGTTAAGAGTCTGCTTCTTGGTTTCTCTTTTTCCTTTGCTCATCTTTTTGTTTCTTAAATTCCACATATGAGTGAAATCATAATGCATTTGTCTTTCTCTGATTTATTTCACTTAACATTATACTCTTTAGCTCCATCCATGTTGCAGATGGCAAGATTTCGTTCTTTTTGGCTTGTTCTGCTTTTTGGCCTTTTGACTTTCATTCAGCTTATGGCTGAATAATATTCCATTGTGTGTATATATATACCATATCTTTATCCATTCTTCTATCAGTGAACACTTAGGCTGCTTCCTAATTGGGCTATTGTATATAATGTTGCTGTGCTATAAACATAGGGGTGCATGTGTCCCTTTGAATTAGTGTTTTTGTATTTTATGGGTAGATATCTAGTAGTGCAATTACTGGATTGCAGGGTAGTTTCATTTTTAACTTCTGAGGAACCTCCATACTGTTTTCCACAGTGACTGTACCAGTTTGCATTCCTACCGATGGTGCAAGAAGACTCCTTTTTCTCCAAATTCTTGCCAACACTTGTTTCTTACATTTTTTATTTTAGTCATTCTGACCGATGTGAAGTGATACCTCATTGTAGTTTTGATTTTCATTTCCCTGATTATGAGTGATGTTGAGCATCTTTTCATGTGTCTTTTGGCCATCTGTATGTCATCTTTGGAGAAATGTCTGTTCATGTCTTCTGTCCGTTTTTTAATTGGATTTTGGGGTTTTTTGGTGTTGAGTTGTATCAGTTCTTTATGTATTTTGGATACTAACCCTTTGTTGGGTATGTCATTTGTAAATATATTCTCCCATTCAGTAGGTTGCCTTTTAGTTTTGTTGATTGTTTCCTTCGCTGTACAGAAGCTTTTTGTATAGTATAGTCCCAATAATTTATTTTTGCTTTTATTTCCCTTGCTGTAGGAGACCTATCTAGAAAAATGTTACTATGGCTGATGTCAGAGACATTACTGCCTGTGATCTCTTCTAGGATTTTTATGGTTTCGGTTCTCATATTTAGGTCTTTAATACATTTGAGTTTACTTTTGTTTATAGTGTAAGAAGGTTGTCCAGTGGGTGGCTCAGTGGATTAAGCCTCTGCCTTCGGCTCAGGTCATGATCCCAGGGTCCTGGGATCGAGCCCCACATCGGGTTCTCTGCTCCGTGGAGAGCCTGTTTCCTCCTCTCTCTCTGTCTGCCTGCTTCTCTGACTACTTGTGATCTCTATCTGTCAAATAAATAAATAAAATCTTTTTTTTTTTTTAAAGATTTTATTTATTTATTTGACAGAGATCACAAGTAGGCAGAGAGGCAGGCAGAGAGAGAGGAGGAAGCAGGCTCCCTGCGGAGCAGAGAACCCGATGTGGGGCTCGATCCCAGGACCCTGGGATCATGACCTGAGCCGAAGGCAGAGGCCTTAACCCACTGAGCCACCCAGGCGCCCCTAAATAAATAAAATCTTAAAAAAAAAAAAAAAAAAAAGGAGGTTGTCCAGTTTCATTCTTTAGCATGTAGCTGTCCTGTTTTCCTGACACCATTTATTGAAGAGACCATCTTTTTCTCATTGGACAGTCTTTCCTGCTTTATTGAAGATTAATTGACTGTATAATTGTGGATTTATTTCTGGATTTTCTATTCTGTTCTGTTGACCTATGTGTCTTTTTTTGTGCCTGTTTTGATTACTGCAGCTTTGTAATATTCTTTTTTTAAAGATTTATACATTTGAGAGAGAGAGTTCATGTGAGCATGTTGAGGGGCAGAGGGAGAGAGAGAATTTCAAGCAGAATCAGTGCTGAGCCCGACATAGGGCTCTATCTCACAACCCTGAGATCATGACTGGAGCTGAAATCGAGTCAGATGCCCTGACTGAGCCACCCTGGAACCCTTGGACATGTGTATCTTTTATTTTATAATACAAGTTTTTCCATAAATCTAACTTTTTTGTATTGTGCTTATATATTTTTTCTGACTATTGCTGCTTTTCTGATGACAATTCTGAATTTGGTGTTATGGTTGGACGTTTTCTTTTAGGCAGTATGTATCTAAAATTTCTTTCTATGTGTTTCTAAATATCATCTTTAAAAGTGAGCTCATGCAGAAGTACTTGTCTTAACCTCCCTGTTTTTATTTTTTATTTCCAGGTATTCTGTGTTGTCTCCTGGAGTAAGTAGTCCTTTTATCCAGCCACTTGCCCTATTCTTGAAATGTGGATATCTCTTCTCTACATGTTTTACCTCCATGGTTTGGATTGGGAAAGGCTGCTTTTCTTTTTGTTCCTTTTCTCAGATTCAACATTGAGAGGCTCCTAGGATACAGTTGTCTTGCCAAGTTCTCCAGAAAGAAAGAAGCAACTGACACACATGTTCTGCTTTTTGCTTAATTACAAAGAAATTATTTTGGAAGCTGAAACTGATGCTTAATTTGAAACAGGTGCTTAGATGCTGGTGTATGTTAATACTTTACTTTTTGTTCCAAACAAGAAGACTAAATACAGAGCAAGTATGGATGGTTTCAGGGGTTTTTTTTGTTGGTTGGGTTGTTTTTTTTTTTTAATGTCTTCCATTTTCGGCCACTGTCATAAGCACAGTCGAATCCGCAAGGAGTAAATTTCAAATATGTGTTCTAATATAAAATGAAAGAGATGCTTAAAAACTACAAATATTAAATATCTAAATCGTGACTCATCCTTTGAAGTACATTTGCTGGAAAAGAACAAAAGCCCAATTTTGCAATAAAACCTTTGATGTGATAAAGAAGCATAAAGACAAAATGATTCAAGGTTAACAGAGTCTGTCAAATATACGTTCACATGTGCAAATCTATATTTTGGATGAGAAGAGGGATTTTTCTCCTAGAGAAGGAAGCTGTTGCTGGTTTCTGTCTCAGAAGTCTTTGGACATTTCGCATTTTTAAATGATTTTTCACTTTTCTAAGGAAGGACCACATTGTACATTTGCTAACCGTATGAATGCATGGTTGAGTTTACTGAAAGTTCGGAAAAGGAAACAAAACAGCTTCAAGTCCAGTGATGGAACCCTGTTCACCTCCCTCAGATGAGAGGCTCCTATATTGCAAATTACTCCATTCTTTTTTGTGGATTCTTACATAGCACTTGAGACATGGAAACATGCTGCTAAGCAGGAACAAGTGTGGCTTAAGTGGTTTTTCTGTTCAGAAAATATGGTGGATCCTCTGGTATGACCTGCCTTCAACTTTGGGCATGGAGGAATGGGGAACAAAAACATTTCCAGAGAATTCCTTTCTCCTGAGAAAAAAGAAGCAAAAATACCTTATGCAGCTCCATCTGACTTTATGGCATCTACATTCTGTAGCTTCTGTTTTCTAAAAACATAAATAACTTTGTTCCTTTGACCCAAGATGGGTACTCAGATGTTTGGTTTATTTTTTTAGGTGAGATGTAATGTTAGGCTGTAAAGGCTGGGACTCAGGTAACATTCCCCAGTTGGAACTGAACTTACTCATCAGAGAATGGACTTCAGTAGCAATGTTCCCAAATTCGTGGTTGATTTAGAAGAAATTCAGGGTCTGGAAAACACCTCAAACAAGAAAAATAGTTCAATAAAAATACGGATCTTCCTCTTCTCTGTAAAGCTTACACCATGTGATGAACAGACAGTAATATAAAGCTATTCTTGCTTCCAGATCAACAGAGGACCATTGTATGAATTGTCAGCTCTTTACATAAGAAGAAGAAAACTGAGTCTTTGTGAGAAAAAAATTGAAACTTCTTAGATGCAATTAAGAACAAATTGCCTTAGGTCATAATCTGTGATTTAGGGAATTTGCCTAGGGTCACTCATGCTGTGATACTAAAAACTTAGGGCAAATTTACCCTAAAAAATTTAGCAGTGACAGAAATGGCCAAAAGTGCTAATTGTTGAGTACTTTTAGTGATTAGTTAAATTGGTCAACCTATATGAATTGGCATAAGAAAGCTTTTTAGTAAAAATAATTACATAATATAGATATAATTTCCTTTGAGGGCAAATACTGAGTGGTACAGCATAGAAATAACTTTGGATAAAGGTAACTTTAAGTAACTTCTCAGTCAACTTCTTGATATTTGCTTTTACTATTTTGGAGTTGTTAAAGACAGAAAGGAACCTCCATACATGAGTCCCATTGGTATGTTGAGAATTTATATCTTTAGTTTTCTGTTATCCATCTTCCCCATGTCCTTTTTGCAGTGTTTTGGGTAAGATCATTTGGCAGAGGATAGGGACTTTATACTGTCAGCTCCAGTGAAACCATCTCTGTTCCATTTGTTTGAGTATATATCAGACTCATCTTCTCCAGTTGCTTTGTATTTTTTATTTCACAGCTAAAACCACTGTTAAATGCTCTCATTCAAGTTGTTCTTTGCATCTTTAGTGGTTGTCACCAGAAAGCATCTAACAAAATGGGTCTATGCCAGTTGTACTAGCCCAGTGTTTATTTAATATGCCTACATTTTCCCCTTGGGCTATTTTGTTCCCTTCTTGATGGGAAAAGCTGTAATTTTAGGCAGGACTACACCTCGATCAGTAGCTGTGCCTACTTACTTCCCTTTCCTCATCCATGTCAGCTGGCAGTTTTTCTTTTAAAAAGTTAAAAACGGGATATGTGCAATAGAAATATATATATATGTATATTTTAATACTTGTGGACAAATGTTACAAGTTGTTTAAGAACAACAAAATCACCAATGTCTTCCATTTTGAGATGTGTATAGTTTTGTAAGCATTAGTGCTTGGTAGCATATTGTAGTGCCATGTTAGGGGTTAGTGCATGAGCCTAGTAATAATTTAAACTCCAGGATGAATTATTGATAAAAACCAATAGTGTAAAATGAGTGGAAAATCGAGACTTTTCTTTTTTCATAAATACCAGAATCATGATATTCTCCCTGGGGAAAGGAGATTAAGGCCAAAAAGACTCAGTTATGAATAGAACTGTGGGATTACAGTGTAAAATACCATGTCTGAGGAGAGTGAAGCTTTCTCTGAGGTAGCTGGAAACCAGCTGCCTTCGTGTCTTATGAAACCTCATATCAAAATGAGGCCCCATTTCATGATTCTGCTTTGTTCTCTTTGAGATGAGATTGTTCTTATGCTGTTTTCACATGGTATGTCTTGTAAATTTATTATTTAATCCACTCCTTTTGCATCAAGAAATTATTTTTTATTTTGCATGTGTTACTGAGATGCTGTGTTAGTCACATACTTTTCTAACCTGCAGACCATTTATATTTCCTGTCTGCAGCATGCTAATTGTTCTGGAAGAACGCTGGTCAGTAGTTCAGTGTCCTACATTAATTTGTCACGGGCTTTTCCTGTTTCACAACCTGAATTGTGTGTTGTTGGGATTCCAGACCTTTTCATAAGAGTTGGAATGTAGCTAGATGGAGCCTGAGCAGGTTGTTATGTAATAACTGTCTCTCTTGCTTGGTTATAGTAAGCCACCTCAGACAGCTTTCACTTTTTCCTGCTTGTAAAAATAAAAGTTGTTTTGTCCCAAAAGCGTAAGATAGCTTTCTGTGGAAAAGAAATACCTACCTCTAAAAGCTGCATTGAGAACTTGAAAAGAGCAGTTTTCTGAGGTGATTTTTAAATCTCAGTATTAGGAGAGTTCAGGATTTATTGACACAGATTTTACAGTTACCATGATGAGAGACAAAACTAACGTGTCTCCAGTACACAAGTAGCTCAAGCAAGTAGACTCTGCAGCAGCAGATATCCAGGGACCCCGGTTTAGATCAGAGTGTAATTAAAGTAGTTGTACTCTTGGCTCTAGTAGTTCAGCGCCTGGGAGAATCCATTTCCAAAAAAGCATTTAAATATTCTGAAAAATACCTCTGAAAAGATAATGAATGCAAAATAGCACAGTATATAGGAAAGGATATTTCTTATTGCAAAAAAATAAAAAATAAAAGCCATAAAACGAATAATGATTTTCAAGAGGTAGAATCTTAGTAGCAATAACAGTTTTGCATGTATAGCAAATTGTATTAGCAATGTTGTACAATAGAAATAAATATTACTACTTGAGTTGGTGAACCTCTGTGACCAGCAGAGTTGCACCAAAGGAAGATGTTTTAGGCAAAGAACATATAAAAGGTACTTTAAAAACTGAATGTATATGAATATATCATTGTGTGAGAAATAGCAACTTCTGTTTAAGTTAAAGGTTAGAGACCCTATTTGTTTCCTAAAGCAGAGGGTTAGAGCCATTGAATGAAATTTTTCTAGTGGTTAATTAACCTGGAAACAAATGCACTCCTACTGATGTAGCCCCACGGACGCCATCGAGTGGGGATTTTGCTTATGATGTACTTTTCAGCAACAGGCGTTTATAGAAGAGCCTACTTGGGGCTCTGTCACTGTTTCTTTTCTCCTTTAGTTCTCTGGGTGCATTTTAAGAATGGAAAAGTTTGGGGGTGGTGTGTGCGTGTATGTGTGTGTTTGGGTTAAAAACAAACCAAGAACTTGGATAGCTGGCTTTTCCTTATGCCTGTGGTTAGTTTAGGGGAGTTAGAATTTAAAGATGTAAAGCAAAGGATTGAACAGAACAGCCAAAGACAGCATGTTGGTTTTATAAACCTTGTCTTATGTACATGTGCTGAGGATTTTGGTCTGTGACTATTTTAAAGATTTTAATTATTTATTTGACAGACCGAGATCACAAGTAGGCAGAGAGGCAGGCAGAGAGAGAGGAGGAAGCAGGCTCCCTGCCGAGCAGAGAGCCCGATTGGGGGCTCGATCCCAGGACCCTGGGATCATGACCTGAGCCAAAGGCAGAGGCTTTAACCCACTGAGCCACCCAGGCACCCCTGTGACTATTTTAATAAGAGCCCAGCAAACTAGTGTTTTGATCCAAGGAACCTCACACCTCCCATCAGGATATAATAGTAAAATGGAAGCTGACTTCTTACTCCCTTTTACCTTGTGTTCATTTTGGCCATTTAGCACCTTGAAGGTGCCTGAAAAGATTAGGTCTGTGTTTCCTTGTTTTCCCAGAGGAAAAAACTAAAAGTAGAATGAATTTTTAAAAATAGTGCCTCTTGAATATTTAATTCTTCTATGGCAACTCCAGAGGATAGGGAGAAGGCTATTATATTAAATTGATTATAGCTCCTCTTTAAATGTCTTATGCCATCAGTTGGTGTTAGAGACATTGGAATAACCAAGCAATATTCAGTCATCTGCACGATCATGAGGACACCGCTGTGTATTATAGTGATGTCAACAATTTAGTTACTTAAAACAAAGACCACCCTTAACAGCCACGTTAATAGTTGTAAATGCTAAAATGTGCTACAAGTTTTTGTAGTCTCTATGCGGTTATTACTTCTCAATGTTGTAGTCTGATGTTTACTCTTGTGTACCTGTGATATGCAAAATATGAAGAGACCCTTGGCCTCCAGGAGTTTACATTCTCATGGTGCTGCTGGTACAAGCAAATTGCTTCTAGTTTATTCAGAACATTGCTTGGCTGTTAACCATACCCTATTTGGAAGAATCCCTTGGCCGATAGTTTTCAAAAGCAGGAGTCCATGCTAAATTTCAGGGCATTGATTTTGAGTTTACATATATCAGCTCTGCTGTTCATAAACTCCTTTTCCCCAGGGGCTGTGCAGATAAAGTTCATTAATGTGAATCAGAAACCATTCTGCCTAAGAGCATATTCACCATCTTTACACAACCTGTGCTCTTCTATGCTATAGCTGTCAATAAATGGCCAAGAAAACTTACGGTTCCAAAAGACTCTACATCTCTCAATTCTCTTTCTTTTCCCAGAGTTTTTACATCATTCTCTACCCAAAAGGGCCAGCATTTGCAATTAAGCCTTTTGTAATTAAGTAGTGGTCCTCATTTTAACCTTTTTGTGCATGACTGTACCTCTATTCTGAAGCAGCATTGTGATGTGGAGCACCTGCCCTGCCTGCATTTCTAAGCAATCACTTTCTTAACCCACATTTTCAGTTGAAACTTGCATGCATCCTTGTTATTGCCCCTAATTCCTCTGAATCGGGGTCTTTTCTGCATGTTTATTAAAACTGGGTCTGAACAAAAGTGCAAGCAATAGTGGCAGGCCCAGAACTCCGATTTTAGAGTACTGCTCTTCTAATGCATGGTTGAAAATGTCCAGTGTTACGTGGTGACTAGTAGATATATTTATGCATTTATTAATGAAGCAATAGAGACTTAAACCAATAGTCTGAATTTACTGTTAGGATTATTTTCATTTTCTAATTAAAGATTATCTTAACTTCCATTGAAAATGGAAGCTAGAAGATAAACAGGGGCAACCACAAGACATTCAAACTGTCAGGAATAGAGAGCATGACAGTGCTCACCTTCTAACCTCTTGCCTGGTTCCCTTAGTCCGCAAGCATGTTTAAAAGCAAAACAAAGGCACAAACTAAGCATGTTGAATAAATAAGCTGCTATGGCTATATTAATCAGAAAGGTGCAGAGTTTCAGAAAGAGTATGAAAGCAGGGAATTAGCAGTGTAGAATATATAAAATAACGAAGTATGGGCTTTGACTGATAAAATTTACGTGTCTTATGTTTGGATCTCTTAAAACTCGTATCTTGGAAGTGAATGGAAGCAATACACACATATTTCAGATGTTCCAGGATTTTCGGGTAACCAGCCAACTCTTCGGGATGCTGCTGGTACCAACCAGGCCAGCCATGAAGGTTCCTTGCAGCAAAGGAGACTACTCCATTGTGTGGAAACAGTGCTAAAAATACCAACAAATCTTTGGTTTGGGTTTTCTTTTGTTGCTGTATTATAGAAATGTTTTGTTTTTAAAATTTTATAGCCAGGGGTTTATCCATGATATTTTTGCTCAGACTGCATAATTTGTTGCCTAATGCTTCTGATGCCAGGTAAACTGCGGGTTTTTCCACTTTTGAAAAAAGGAAAAACCTTGCCATTTATTTCCTTGCTTGATGAAGAAAACAGTTTATTGTGATAGCTTAAAATTTTTTATTAGATTCCTGACTTTGAAAGTAACCCTGTTAAGTGCAAATGATCATGACAAATAATATACAAATGGAATTCGTAGCTGAATGGCATAAACAGAAGATAATTCAGAGTTAGACCAGATGATTCATACTAGGCCCCTCCCAGGTTTCATTTTCTGTGATTGAAAAATAATTTTTCTTAAGCCATTTTAACCTGTCCTCTTTGCTGTGGGATTTCACTCCAAATGTCTTTGGGAATTATTTAAGTGTAAGTGGTAACTTTCTAGTAGTTCAGAACTGAATTAGACTTACAGTCATTGCAATGTTTCGTGTCCACTTAAATATAGGCAGTGAGATAATTATTTCCCATTTGTAAATTTGCTTCTTGTCACTTACTGACTACATCTGCCAACCAACAAAACCAGTAAAGATATAGGGAGGAGTTTCTCTCAACTCTGTGCCCATTATTCCACAAAAGCATATAGTTAAAAAACCAAACATCACAGATTTCTCTAGGAACTTTTATGCCTAAACCTCCTTTAAAATCAAAATAGATATCGTAAAGTTACTGACAATTCAAAAGGTTTTTTTCTCCCTTGCTGATTGTATGCCGTGCCATCAGTTTTCCTCCCAATGGCAATACATTATGGTCAGTCCTTAAATAACAGTAAGAGTCTTGGCACTTACCTTAAAACCACCTGTCACAGAGTCCTACTATATTACAGTATCATTCACATATTTTTATTTAGCATCCTATAAGTACAGTTGCTCACTATTTCTACTTGCTGTTCTGTATTTTCTTCATTACACCATTGGTATACAATGTTAAAAAGCATTTCACTGAATGTTTATAAAGTCTTACAAAAGGCAGCTTTTTAATCTATGCATCCTTGGGATTTCAGAAATTTTATTCTTTGATGTAAAAGGGAACTGCTATACGAGTTGGAAACTCTGCACCTGTGTGTGTGTGCGCGCGTGTGTGTGTATATATATATATATTGGCAATAAAGCAGCATGGGCTGAGAATGCACTGAAACCACTGTGTTACTCATTATTTGGAATGGGTAGTTTTTTTAAACTAATTTTTAGAAAGATTTTATTTATTCATCAGAGAGCGGGGAGAGAGCATAAGCGGGGGTGGGAAGCAGGCTCTCCGCTGAGCGGGGAGCCTTACGCAGGACTTGATCCCAGGACCCTGGGATCATGACCTGAGTTGAAGGCAGATACTTAACCAACTGAACCACCCAGGTATATCAGAATGGGTAATTTCTAATAATGCAGTAGATTATTGAGATGGGAGGAGCCAAACCAGAGATCTGGGGAGGTAGGCTCCAGATGTCAGGAAAGACCAAAGATCTGGGCGTTGATACCAAGTTGTAGCAATCTCTGCTGTAGACCAAGGGAAGTGGAATCCATGTGAACAAAGAGACATTCCATTTAAGCTTAGGTCATGCCCTATTTTTTTTTAACTTTTTTAGATATTTTATTTATTCATTTGAGAGAGAGAGAGAGCACAAGCAGAGGGAGAGGCAGAGAGAGAGGGAGAAGCAGACTCTCCGCTGAGCAGGGAGCCCGATGCGGGCTCAATCCCAGGACCCTGGTACCATGGCCTGAGCCGAAGGCAGACGCCCAACTGACTGAGCCACCCAGGCATCCCTCATTCCCTGCCCTGAGGGCTCACCTTATACTAGGTATGAGCAAATGTTTAGTTTTTTTAAGATTTTATTTGAGAGAGAGAGCACAATTGGTGGAGAGGCCGAGGGAGAAAGACTGCCCATTCAGCAGGGAACCTGACATGGGGCTTCATCCTGAGCCAAAGGCAGTCACTTAACTGAGCCACCCCAAATGTTTAGTTTTTGATAAGGAAATAGCTAAGTAAAATAATGTTTAAGCTATTGCAGGGAATCCTTCCTATCTAAAATATATAAACCATTTTAAATGCTTTGTATTGAATATTAGCTATCTTGACTAAAGAGGCTTAACACTAATTGAGAAGAGAGGAATGCCTGGGTGGCTCACTTGATTAAGCTGCTGCCTTCGACTCTGGTCACGAGCCTGGTTCTCCCTCTGCCTGCAGCTCCCCGTTTGTGCTCGTGTGCTCTTTCTGACAATAAAATCTAGAAAAAAAGAGAACCTTCTTGGGGAGTCTGGGTGGCTCAGTGGGTTAATTGTCTGACACTTGATTTCAGTTCAGGTCTTGATCTGAGGGTTGTGAATTTAAGCTCCACGCTGGGCATGGAGCCTACCTAAAAAAAAGAAGAGATCCTTCTTGATTCAGGGGAAAGTTTTTAAGTTTAAAGTAAGAAAGTACATGCTACAAACTTCCTTGGGATTGGCTACTGTCAAGTAAAGAGGAACAAAAGCTATGTGGTTTTTGTAGTACGATTACTAATGTAATAATAGTTCCTTCCTGTGATTTATGACTAATCATTTAGCAAACACTGATATACTCCACTCCCAGGTACTGTGTTAGATGTTAGGGTTACAAAAATGGAGATAGTTTCTGCTGTTAACTCAGGAGTTTAAAAGTTTACAACTCAGGAAGAACTTCAGTATGCAGTTTTACTTTTCTTAAAACTATGGAATTTTGAAAATGCTCTTATTCAACATATACACAGTGCCAAATTATTTCAAACTGTAGCAAAGTAGACTTAGTATCTGTTAATATCAGTCAGTCATTGATGTTTGAAAGACTTTCATAGGAACTCTTAT